ATAGCCCTGTATAGCATCTTGAACGAGGAAACTGTAGTTTTCAGCAAAATCTAATAAGATGATAGGTGTGTCTGGTTGTAAGGATTGCTTTAATGATTGCAAGTATGAAGACTGTGATTTGGTGATGAAGTGATGGCTCCGTAAACAATCAACAGCATTACAAACTGTTTCAATATAATCATGCACTGAAGTTGTGAGGGTAACCAATGCAGTTCTATCAGTATGCATCCATTGCTTGTAAGTTACATTGTCATCCATATCCACTTCAATTGGCAGAAAACAAATCTGTTAAGTAAATGCTCAATGCATTCTTACCTGGACAATTTTCACAACATTGCAACATGCAGTTGCGGTTTTCAGTGTTACACACTAGTTTACTGAGATAATCCTTGTAATCACACTTATTAGGAGAGACTGTCAGAAGTAGTTTCACATTTTGGTGCTGCTGACAAACACACATACAGAATGCATACCTGCAGTCTGCAGACTTTCATAGCGATCGAGATACACTTTATGATGATGGAAACATATGCTATAATCATCAGCCAATGTTAATCCACTTCTCCACTCAAGCAGTTTTTTGTCCTCATCTGATATCTGATTAACTGCAAAGAAGCCAGCATCGCCTCTCACAAAATCTTTCTTATGGCAGGAATCATTCAAATTTAAACCAATGCTGCATTTGGATAACTCGGATGATGTTCCCTCCATCGTGATGATCTAAATGTTGATATCTGAAATATATATTCCAACACTATGCCTAATACAAATGTGTGTATAAAAGTGTGCTGCACCTTCAGACAAGATTTTCCTCTAGCTATCTCAAACTGAAATGACTCTTTATTACTTTGCAGTGATATGGACTGGATGAGACATGCAAATAAACCTATTTGAAAAACATGTCTGGACATGAGATAACCGTGACATCAATTGAATTGACAATGTCCAGTGTAACAATTAATAAACAATGTTTATCTTGGTATGTGTAGCATGATGTATGGTTTATAACAATTTACTTTAAAGACCCTAAACAATAGTTACCATTGGTGTATGCAAACTTGTATGAAATATTAATGTCAAATTGTTTAATTATTGCATTCATCACTTTATATTGCCATATTATGACTGCAGAAATGCCACATTTAAACCCTGTCACATTACCTTGAAGGAGTTGAGTAGCAAAGCTGAAATTTTGTGTACATATTACTATGATACCTATCTTCGACAGGTTAGAGTTTCACAAAATATTTCAACTGATCGCGGGGTCATCCGGGGTCACGAACATCGAGCCATTTAAAGGATTTTTCTGGCTGGGGCCCATTTTGGGACTCTGTATTTTCTGATTTAAAGCTTTAATGGGATTGTTATTTCTTCTGGATGTAGTCCTGTGACCATAGATTATATTCAAGTAGAATGGAGCCCATGTTACCCCTAGTTTTCATTCAGGGTGACCCCAAAAATTGAAAAAAAACTTAATCGCTCATTCTGGACCCTACTTTAGGCAATCATAACTTGAAATCTAAAGATGATACTTTAAATCTGAGTGCAGATTCATAAAATTTGGCAAAAAGTAAGTCAGAATGCCAACCTGTCTCTTATACACATCTAGATGTGTATAAGAGACAGCATCACAATACAAGATGTAAAAAAACATCACAATACTTCCTTAAAACGTCATATATGGCAAAGTGTGTAGACACTTTTTTTTCCCAGGGTAATAGGCTTTTTCCCCAGGGTAGTAAGGCCTTGAAGAAGCCTTAGCTAGGGGCCTCGGACATCTTTGTTACGCCACTGACCAAGAGGAGTCCAAAATACTTTTATTATGTTTCAAGTGGCCACTTTTTTATGCTTTTATTAATTCATTGATACCATGAATTTTAACCCTATCGTTAAATAAACAATGTACTCTCAACGTTCATTTCAACGCAACGCAACTCAACGCAAACGCAACGCAACGACAACGGGTAAAACGCGTTGGGATTTTTGCAATACAACTGGCCGGTACTGTATTATTTAAAAAATTTAAAATGGCTGCCACATTAAAAATTGCCGCCATTTTAAAAATGGCCGCCATTTTAAAAATGGCCACCATATTGAAAATAGCCGCCATATTATAACTCGCTGTCACATTAACATAAAAAATGCTGAACACTATGGAATTTTAAGGTTGAAATGGTAGTTGGACCTATATTTCAGAATTCAAAATGGCTGCCAAATTCAAAATGACTGCCAAATTCAAAATGGCCACCAAATAATAATATAATCTTAATTTACAAGGTAAAAATTATCCCCTGCCAGACACCATCCTAGTATTTTTTAGTCTAAGTTTCATGGCCGGAATTATAAGATTATAATTTTGCAACATTACATACAATGCCACTAGTTGCATCATTGCGTGCATCAAAATTACCATTCTACTTTAAGTACAAGTCCGATTTTTTAATATCCATCAATAGTGGAAAAAACCATGTCTCCGAATCACAAATATCGTAAACAATTTCGTACTTGGTTTTCATTGGGTCTGCCTTTTTTCGGTGAATTCTAGTCACCACACCTTCAAACCAATCTACTTTTCCTTTTCGAAACATTTATGAAACACAGATTTGCCAACTAAATCATCAGGGTTAGCGATAAATTGTTGCATGCGTGATTTCGTCTGTAGTATCTTAAGGTTAATCTCTGAGCTCTTAAGCTTGAACAGCATCTCTTGTCTTCTATTCTGAATTCGTTCAGATCTTTCATCCAGTGATCTATAAACTAAATTTGGTGCTTCAGTATTAGCCTCATCATCAGAAATGTTGTCGTTTAGTGATAAAACATGCTTTAAATTTTCTTTTAATTGATCCAGACTATGTTTTTTCCCCTTCTTGGATTCGTTAAATAGTTCTCTATCGCCTTTAGCACAAAGTACAGTTTTATAGTACTTAAGCTGTGTTAGTACAGCTGCTTTCTGCTTTTCTGAATTCAGTCCATTAAGCTTGCTGTCTACTTCCTGTGAACACCATGGCCCACCCAATTTTGCCACATCTCTACTTAACTTCAACTTGGTATTTTGATAAGTTGCCTCAGTGTCCGCTTTTTTTTGTTGTCTGGTTTTCAATTTATCATCAATTTTATTTTGCAACTCTATCTTCTTTTTCTTTATATGCTCAATAAATGATGGGCACTTCTTTTGAGCATCATTAAGTGTCTGCTCCCTTTCTTCTTCAGACATGTTTTGCAGATACTGTGATGGTTTATTCTTCCACCACATCACATGTGTTTCCAGATTGGCACTTCCCATGCCTGGTTTAGCCCGAAGAATGTTATCTAGGATTGACATGTCACATTCCCCATCGTTGTTCATTTTTGGTACTGTTTTGGCTATTTTTTTCATTTTTTCATTTGGGTTATAATATTTGCCACCGGGTAGCTGAGTAGATGCCTGGCGTTGTACTACAATCAGACATTCTGAGGATATCAGTTCTATTCCTAATTGCGTGATTATTGCTTCTTCGGCTGAGGTGACCTCTTCAAAGAGCTTATTAAGCAATTCGTTCTCTGTTACAGCTACTGTCTTAAACATACACATTTTTCCAACAGCAGGGTTCCCATCAGAAGTCCATTCTTTCAGACATGCTTCCATCTGCTCCAGGTCGTCATTAAGATCTAGTATATTGCCTGGTATTTTTAAACTTCTCTCGAAAGGCTCCATCATTAGTGCATACATTATTCCCATAGATCTTGCACCTGCTTTGTAGAGGACTTCTTTTATATCAAATTGTACAGAAGATATTAGTTGGTTGCTATCTGGTATACCACCTATGAATTCTGCAAGGTCATCCCAGTGAAAATAGAGTGCTGCACATTCATAGTAGGAAATATTCATCCTATGGCCAATATAGGTGACAAAATAGTTTTTTTGCTTCTTTCCTCGCAAAAATGATTCCCAAAGGTCTGGTATACCAGCTACTGCAGAGCCCCTACGTGTCAACAGTGCTGCAGCAGTACGGGCCAGACGCAGGGTTCCTGGCTCATCTGCGACTGTGTCATCTAGTACACGCAATGCTTTTGAAGCAGCAGGATCCAGATTTATGAGCAAATGCATGCGGCATGCAAAGTTCCCCATTTCTATTATATCTTGCTTTCTGAAAGACTGAAATTAAAAAAGGGCATTAAAAAAATTTAGAAATTGAGTTGTCAAAACATGAGCATGAAATAACTTACAGTATGTATTGAAATTATAATTAATAAATATAGCTGTAGCTTCTTACCTGTTAAAACCAGGTATTACTGTTGGTAGAAGTTTTGTACGCAGCTCTTCAACCAGCCGATTGAAAACTCCATTAACAGCTGCTTGATCAGAAAGAAATGACTTGATGCTGACAATAAGTTTTGCCACCATAACTGACTTCTCTTCCTCACTTGAAACTACTGCAGTAGCTAGTGTTTCGATGGTGTCGGTAAATGCCTTTACATATGTTTCGGCATCCCCTCCGCAAACCTCCTTCAATCCCAGTGTAAGATGTTCTCCTGATGGGAGAGAAACCTGCATCCCTTCATAATGTTTGTGGCAGAAAGTTGTAGCATCTTGCTGGAGTGTTGACCCAACACAAGCCTCTGGATCAAAGTTGGCTAGCATTCCATCAGCAACCTGTTTACATGCGACTATTTTGGCCTCCATAAGAATTCTGTTGCTGAGTAGAGCTGGGCTTGGTAGTCTCTCTGGTAACTTGCCAGTTAACTTCTGCAAAACAGTGCATATAACAGTAGGCAGTTTTCTGATGCTGACATTTCCTTCTGTTAAGAGAGTCATGCAGCATTCTCTGATCTCATTTGTGTATCGTCCATTCCGGAAAGTCTTTATTTCATCACTTTCTGTGCACTGGATAACTGCCTCAAGTTCACTAATCCGCTTCTCCGAGACTTTGACATCGTGTTCATGTTTTGCTATTTCTTTATCACATGCCTGTTTCGCTTTGTCTCTTTCAGCACGAGCTCTTTTTACATTTGATCTAGCATATGACAGTTTTTTCTTAAACTTTTTTTAAAGTTCATTGATACAAATAGTATAATTTGCATCCTGATTTTCCTTGTCCATTTCTTTCTCTGTCTGTTTTGTTACGACTTCCCATAGTTCTTCATTTTCTTGAGACATTTTCTTTAATTTTGTACAGTTTTCTTTATTTTCATTTTTTAGGCGTTTGATAGTTTTGTCTTTTGAATCAATTGACCTCTTGCGTGCAAGTTGAAGTGGAAGCTTAGCTTTTGCTTTTGACATTGCATGCAAATATTCATCCAGCTTAACAGATTGTTGTTCATACTTGGCCTCGCATTCTTGAATTTTTTTACTTAAAACTTGCTTATCTTTGGTATGGTCCTTAACAGCTCTTTCAAAATTCTGTATGCTATCTTCACATTGATGCATTGCTTCTTTTACTGCTTCTTGCAAAGCTTCCAGATTTATTGTAAGATCAGTAGACCGCTGTTGTGACTCGGACAGTTTTGACTTCAACACTCTATTTTCCATTTTTACTTTGTTAGTTTCTCTAACCAGACACTTCACCTGTTCTACAGTTTGATTCTCGACAGACATTGATCTAACAAGCAGTTCTTCTTTTGGAATTGGAGGAATAAACAGCTCAACTAACCATGATTGAAATTTCCTAGTTTTCTTGGATTTAAGCTTTCTAGCCTCCTTCATTGTTATGACTATTTTACTGTATAAGCTAATGAATTTACATCTGCCATACAACTCGTTCCTTTCTTTGACCAGTTGTTCTGCCAATGATTTTTCACTTCTCCGCTCTACAATGACGTTTTGATAAATCCAATATTTGGTAATCAATTGTTTAGTGATATGCTGCTGGTTATGTTTTCAGCAGCACCACTACCACCTAAAAATTATTCATAAATATTTACTTATATAAATATAAATAATTAATTATAAAATTCCCATAAATTCTCACAAATATTAAATAACATTCTAAATAATAATTGGTATATTGCTAACAATTCCCTAACCTTATTTTTAATTCCAATTTAAATGTCAAAATTTCGATCAATTTTTATAATCAATTAATAAATTAAGTCAATTAAAATTCTGTATACATAAACTAGAGAAAAGAAAAACATTTATTATAAAATACAGTGTCAATTCAAACATTCTTTTGTAATAATATGGTATATAAAACTAATTGGCCTATTAGAGTGCTGAACTGCAGGGCTGTGAAGGGCTGTGCTCTGCTGTTCAGCCTGCATAACAATGCTGTCACGGTTGGGTGAGCATAACTTTCCCTAGGCCTATGATTGACTTAAAACATGCTGTCTTTAAGATCATTTTTCTACCTTTTAAATACATCTTATAAACTTCTAATTTGTGTTCAACAATGTACAAGACATTATATTTTTAAAATTACTTACCAACTAGATTGAGCTAATTCACTGAAGTTTTTTTTTTCTACAGTTTCCGACAAAATTTGTCACAGTTTCAAAAGTATCCACACCATCAACTAGTTGCAAACACCAATTTGTAGGTCTAGGTGTCAGCTTTCAGAAAAGCTATTGAAAAGCAGCATTTTGATTGGTTAAGAGTTTGACCTAACCAAAAAACTATATTGACCTCATAGAGCCAAGGAGAAAAATTCACTCAAAAAGTGCCAGTGTGTGAAACACTATACTGTAAGCAGAGATTTGGTAGGCTTACCAATTTATAAACTATCATTGTGGCATAACTACCAAAGTAAAGTTAATAAAACTTACAGATATGATAGAAACAACCTTTCTCTCACTAAAAGTGAAAGAATTATGTTGATAGACCTTCTACAAGTGGAGAAATATTAATTTATTTATTTATGTGGAAACGTGCAGGAAACTGCAAGTTTTACTGGTGGTGTGAACACCCTATAGCCTATCCAATGCTGCTAGGCTAGGCCTAGCCTTACCTCGATTTAGGTTCTGT